AAAAAAAAAAAAAAATACTTTTTTTATAACATTGCTAAAAATAGTACGCGTTCTACAAAATAACATTAAGATTCAAAAAAAACCCTTTCGCTTTTTTTTTTAAAATCCAGAGTTTTGATTTTTTAACATTTCCAGACTTCCCCGACTTCATTATACTATCATTATTTCTTATTATTTCTGTCGTGCAAAAAATCGGACTCACATTACACATCTATATAAGTTCTATTTTTAAACTATATAATTATAACATATTATAACTATATTTATATGTAATATATATATATATGTATATATATAAAATATCAAATATCAAAAAAATTAAATACTGTGTCTTTAAAAAAGAAAATGGCATTTTGATCTACATATTATTTGTTTATTTCCTTTACAAGAAAATTTTTTACTCGATTCTAAAAAGTAACTTAATTTTTTTTTAAACATTTTTTTTTTTTTATAGATCTTTTACTTTATCGGAGTTCGATTTTCTGACGATTACAAGTAATGATGAGATAATATGATATAATATGATTACAAAAGTTAAAAATATTATATATGTTTCTCGATTAATTAAACAAAAAAAGACAAAAAGGGGTATGCAGATCTAAAAAGAAAATAGCAAATTTAGTAAATTTCAATCATTAGTGTTAGACATATGTTTGCGTTACACGAAAAAAGACCTACAACAAAAAAAATTTTTTTTTTTTTTTACGACGAAGACACGCAGCAATGAATTCCCTGGAATTACGATAAGTGATTTTTTCTTTAAGCAATGTTTTTTTATAATTATTATTTTATTTTTTATAATTATTTTTCATAATTATAATAATTATTTTTTAATAGCTATTTTTCATAATAATTATTTATTATAATAATTATTTTTTATAATAGTTATTTTTATATAAGTTATTTTTTATAATAATTATTTATAACATTTAAATTATTTTTTTTATAATATAATATATTTATTTTTTTATAATTTTATTTTTAGAATTTTTTAGAAAAAAAATAAATTTCTTCTGATCTGTATTATTTATATGGAAAAAGTACGATAATCATGATGCTTTAGTACTACGATAATATGGTTGTTTAAAATTGTATGAAATTTCCATATTCATTAAGTTCATCTTCAAGGTTAGGGAAAAGTTTCATTCGTTTATTATCTTTGTCATTTTTTACATTTGTTAAAAGATTAATTCATTTTAAACGATATCAGATATAGAAATTTCGCTCATTCTCATGTAACAAATCAAAATCCATCGAGTTTTTAAACACGCACGTCTTGACTCCAGGGTTTCCGTCAGAAATGTTTTCTAGCGAAAAAAAAAAAATTTTTATTTATATGATTATCGTAAATAATGCGTCCCGGTAAGGGGTCGGTAAGTTCAACTCATTTTAATATTGATATTTTAACATTTTATCGTTATTAGCACGCACTCGAGAAAAAGTGTATTGTACGTTTCAACACATTTTATTTTTTTTTTAAAAAAAAATAATCTTTGAAATGATAAAAATGATAAAAATGATAACAATGACAAAATCTCAATAATCTCAATAATCCCAAATTCCAATTCCAGTTTTTTTCAAGATAATATCACGATTAAGATAATTTGTAATTGTAATACTACTAGTATTAATTGATTCTACAAATGTAATTTTCAAATCTGGAAAATGTGATTTAAAATAATTTCTAATATCATTACCAAACACTGAAATAATAGATTTCCCATTAAAACGAAATTGATTAAATTCATAATAACGACCATCTTGAATATTATTATTATGAAATACGATATCAATTGGTTCACCTATCAATTTTGCATTATTTTCATAAATCTTAATTTCGATCTTGTTAATAAAATCACGTAAAATTTTTCCTCCAGAATCATATGACTCATTCACACAATCATCACTTACGGTTTTCGTTAATTTCTAACGTATATAAAAAAGTTTTTATTAACAGTTAATCGTAACGTAAAAAATAAAATTTTATTATTCCTTTAAAAAATTTAAAAAATTTTGATAATTACCGTATGATTCGTATGATTTGGAGTTTGCCATGAACAAGATTGTATAGATCGAATAATAATAGGTTTATAAATAATTTGACTTGACTTTATTAATAATGTAGATTGATTTTTGGTGATAGAGAAATTCTTTGAATAAGATAGAGTACGGTTTAATAATATTTGAGCCATATTTCGAACTTAAGTACTCGATCTTAATAGTATCAAAATATATTTGCTTATATATGAAAAAATTTTTTTTTTTGTTTCAATTTCAAATGTTGTACGATGACATAAAGAGTTAAAGTACTATAGAAATTAGAAAAAAATGTATGCGTCATATCAGATATAGAAACATGATGATATGACCATGGTATTTTGGATATATCAATATACTTCAATATACTCAATATACTTGTATTCGATCTCACCTCCACCATATATTGAGCATATTATAACATCTATTGATCATATACCTCATATGCTCTTAAACCACTTTGTTTATGAATGATTCACCGTATGTACACTACGTATGGTACAGTATATCGTTAATTTACTGCATATAATTGTGATTTGTGAACATCTTACATTGAGTGACAATGTTACTGTGTGATTCGCTAAAAATATTCATAAACGTACTGTGCATGTATTAATTGTTGTTAAATAATAATTTCTAAATTTCGGAATATTTCAAAGTATTATCCCGATTTAACATATTATGCCGAACGTTGAAGTATATTCTATTGGTACTAAAAAAAATGTTGGAGTATATTCTACGTTAGATGAAAATCTATGAATATTCAAAATAAATACTTTTTTAAGTTCTCATCATATATTCTCATAAATTATAATTACAATCTTTTATTTATAAATCTCATCACAAAAATCCTGTAATTTTTGTATGATCGTAACGGAACACAGAATATTACATGTATTCAGATACGTCAAATTACTTTTATACTATGATTTGATCGTTTTCAAAATTCAAAAGTTATTAACCAATCACATTAAATATTTCGGTAATAAAGTGCTTTACAGTACTTACGGTATAGTTATCTAGCCGAAGATTTTGAAAATTTCGAGTTTGATTTACCGAATTACATTGGTTTTGTCTTTAACACCATCGTCTGACGTCTGGAAGTCTAACACCATCGTCTGGAAGTTTAACACCATCGTCTTACAACCCGTCTTACAACTTTCGGACCAAAACAATTACTCGATATATAAAACTTTATATGGTGAAAAGTTAATTTTAGTGTAAAATTCTTTAGTCATGCATTTTAACAAAATTTACAAAATCAAATATTTTATTATTAATATTGTATTACATATCAAAAATATCAAAAAAAAAATTTTTCTCATATGGACATAATTATTCATGAAAATAATTATATTGAATATGGTCAAAAATTATAAATCATTAAATAATTTAGAATAATCATAATAATTTCCTTTTTCATGTGCATACATACATACAGTACATGCATAAAAATTACCTTTTAAACCTTAATTATTTTCTTTATTATTAAATTCTTTGTATGGTTAATAAACCTGGTTTTTCTTTAGTAATTTATAATTTTTTATTAATAATATTTAATAAATATTTAACCTTTTGAGAACTAGAGGAAAGACCATGTTCTTTCATTACTTTGTAAGAGATTTTTAATTTTTAGAATTTATTGTATCTTCATAATCTTTGTTCTCCAAATACGGCATCAATCTCATCCGTGCGCGCCCCTTCTTTTTGTCCTTTTATTTAATAAGAAAAAATAAGCAAGAAAAGGTTAAAAGAAAAATAAGTAAGAAAAAGGGGGAAAAGGGCACGGCAATTAAGTATCCATCCATCCTAAACAAATTGTTCAATAAAACTAATTCCACTTTTAGAAATTTAATAGATCATGATACCATTTTTACATTTAATTTCGTTTCTTGAATAAAACTTATCTAATAAGTAATAACATTCTTTGCACCAATAATAAGTTAATTTCTATTATCCTTATTACTTTCCTAAGCAAGAATTGGAATAATTGTAAATAGCATTGTTTAACTGCGAGTCCGAAACTCCGATTGAACGAAACAATTAAAAATTTGCTGATCTGGTTGTTAACCAAAATTAGTGTATCGCGCAACCAAATGCCGATCTTGTAATTCATGTGAACGTCATAAACGACAAATCTAATTTTGTTTTTACCTTTTTAGTATTAATCTATATTTCATTTAACTACCAATGGTAATTTTTTTGATAGCGTAATTGAATTATCACTCAGAGGGATTATATTTTTACCCAAACTCTTTTCATATATACGATTTCACATGAAATTTAAAATATTCTAAATTAGTTTTTTTTATATTATAATTAGAAAAATTTTGACTTATTAAATATAGAAAATGTTTACGGGATAATATGTACAACACAATCTCTAGATTAAGTTTCTAGACAAATTTAGAACATGATTCCATAAAAAAAAAATGAAGACTTTTATACGACATTCATTTTTATAAAGTAATCTTTGATCACACGTTTTAAACTACTATCCATGAAATCTTTGTTTGACTTTTACGTGATTTCGGAGGGATTAGGAAGATATTTTATTATTATGGAAGGTATAGAATTATTATTAGAAAGGTGCGGAAACGATATTTAAATTATTATGAAGGTGCAAAAACCATGGGAATATATTTGCCTCTAATTATCTTTATCTAACCAATCTTAGAATAAAATTATCGGATTTTAAGTTTCAGCCATTCCCATTCATTTCTAGACAGAAAAAAAAATTTTTTTTTCCGGTTTCATCCTATTTCTTAATAATAGTTATTTTGCTACTATATTTATACTTCATTATGTAATTATATTGTGAATCTCTCAGTATTATGATGCCTAAAAAAAGTAAATAAAGACTTTTTGTCGCCACATATTTCAAAAGTTGAATTTTCTCGACCTGCCACAAAAGAGCTTGGTATTGTGGCTGCGGAAAAGCTTGGCCATTGGCTAGCCAAAAATGGCTTGGTCAAAATTGTCAAAATGGCAAAATGGCTATACGGTATATGTTTTGGTCACAAAAACGAGCCAAATAGCCATATCAGCAAATATGTGATAGAAAGGTGATAAATAATTTAGGCCGTAGCATATGTCATAACTTCGTAAGAAAGGCGTCGCATTTCCTGTTGTATACTTGTATCTAATTATCATAACTTTGAAATGCAATTAGATAATTTAATATTATCTAATGTGTGAAATTTTCGTTGTATGGCAAGCCAAAAGTTGGCATCCTTTTTTAATGTAAAGTTTAATACACATTAGTAAGATTTCACATTAGTAAAAGTATTACTTACAAAATGTTAGCTATAAAATTACGTTGATTTATTCTTAAAAAATTTTTATTATAAACAAATCTATACTAATAAGTATACTATATTCGTAATTAATTTGACGCTAAAAAAAATAAAAGTTGAATTTGTCTTACATTTTAAGAAATAATTGTCTTTATCCAGATAACATCATAAACTAATCCTAACGCTAACGATAATTTATATAGGAATTTGCGAGGTTAGTAAAAAATGGTTAATTTAAAATGAATGTAATGAATGTGTAAAGGTGTATTACGCGATGATACACAATAATGTTTAATGCGTTTTTTTGAATATGGACCATATTATCCTAAGTAATCGACGAACTCTCAAATTGATCGATCAAAATTCATAATTCGGGCCAGAATTACTATTGGAAAATCCAATTCAGAACACATGATCAATTTATATGTAATCAAAATTTTCGATCACTGTAAATTTTTTTTATTGAAAAAGTTAAATAAACATAAATAAACTTTTATTTACAATAGTAGTCTGATTAATAATTTTTGTCTGTAAAATGTTTGAAAGTAATCAAACACATAATTTAAACATTTTGAGAATAGACCTTCATAATTACCAGGAACAGATAGTTTCAATTCGTTAGCTGTTAGCCTTTTTTTCAAGTTGACTGTTATCCCATCTTTTATTAATTCAATATATATATATATTCAGGCATTTTTTCTCCTATACCTTGCATATAATAATGTAAGATAAAATCATTAGCGAAGGATATCGCAGTATTACGATATACTGAACTTCTCTCACATAATAATTCCAAAACTATATATCAACAGTAAATTCTCATTATGAAATCTCCATGAATTCAAGCCGTACTGAAATTAAGATTTTGATTTTTGATTTTTTTAGCGTAGAAAAAAATTCTTAGATTATTTTTCATTAAAGATATACTTTAATTGGTAAAGTATGTTAATTCGAGATTTTCCGCAAGTAATTAATGATATAACGGTGTAGGAAAAATGAATCATAACTGAAATTTTACCACTTTAAAAGGCAATTTATACGATATAATGTTTCTTAATCCTGTTTATTCTCATTAATGAATGGAACAAGACTACAAGAGAAACCTTTAAATAAGCTACTGAAAAAAGGAGTTTTACGCCAATTGTACACAATTTTTTTTGCTTATATATGCTGTAGGTGAAAACGGAACTATGTGGTATTCCGAACCCATATATGTGGATACGGGGTGTTGGCCAGAATTACAGCATAGTGCCGGACTAGGATTTCGTAATGCCGGCCAAGCTCCGATTTCCACCGGTATTCAGAAACCACAACGTATCACTTGACCGTATTTTATATTGATATTGTAATTATTGTAGTTTCTCGTTATATTTTTAAAATTAGCATTAATTATCATATCAAAATTACATATTAATATACTTTAAGTATTAGTAAATACGGTATAGTATTGCACATTATTATTTAGTCGTTAAGATCATCTTCATTGGATTATTTAAACGTTTTTAAGTGTTTCATCATATTTGTAAGAGGATTTTGATTTTATTGCATTTTATAATCTTATTGTTCACAAGTTTTTCAACATAACGATCTTATTTACAATCCAAGTTAATAAGTATCGATCTATCCAACCAAACTGCTTCATAAATTGTACTGAACTCACCTTGAGCTTAAGAATTTGAATTTGATATTTTTTATTTATTTTTTTAATCCATAATAAGGAATCCATTTAGTAAATATATATCCCTTTAGGTAATCCATCTAAATGTGCAATAGTAACTGCGCTATCATGTTCTTCAGCATCTTAACTTACAAGAACTAATGAATTTTCATGATAAATGGTTTTAGAGCATTTATTAAAA